TGCCGCAGGCAGCCAGCGGTGCCGGCCCCAAGCCCACGCCGTCCCTGGCTGCCAGGGGCCCGCCAGGTCCCAGGCAGTCACTCAGACACGAAAGGAGGCCATTAGCTCTCCCTTGAGATTTTTTGACTGAAGCTGAACCAGACTGGCATGCCTTTCTGAAGGACAGCCAAGCTCTTCCTGTCAAGCTATAACCGGTCATTTTCTTCTTCAGGAACAAGTATGTATTTGGTGCTAGTAACAGCCACCCAGATAACATTACAGAAATATGCACACATCCGCTCTGGTGTATCTGTAGGATTCCTACATCTTAATGTTACCATAAATTAATACTGAGGTTTTTTTACTCCAAGCGTTATACTTTCCTAGCCTGTGTACTTTGTGAAGACTGACTACATCCCATCAAATGAAAATTAATGCACATTTTGACAGGATAAAGATATTACAACTCAACATTTGCAAACGTTACCTGATGCGTAACTTTTGTATGGCTTAACATGTTATTAACAGTATTTTAAACCTTATGTTCTTTTTTAATTTAATGCTCATGTCTGAAAATAGCCCCTTTCAAATTCAGTTGCAGTAATGTCTTTACAAGCAAACTTTAAACTTAATTTGCTGCACATACAATTACCCAAATAAGTTGCATAGTTTAAACAAGTTCAGTTGTGCTTTGTAGCAGAACTCACAGTAATTACTCATCTCTTAAAAACACGATTTTTGGATATGAAGTTGACAATACAGTTAAGCATTTTTGTGACGTCTAGACATCAACAATATGAGTTTTTGTCACTCTTCCACTGACTTCTGCTGTTCATAATACCTCACCCTTACATTGATATTACATCAGAGCATGGACATTTAATGGACACATCTGAAATAATTACAAACACAATTTTTAAAACTCCATTGTCGGGAGGGGAGAAATAAGAACTTGGGTTGGTTTGAGGTATCCAGCCCTCAGGAACGTACTATGGTTGTTTGCATTAAGCTTTGTTGGTTTTATCACATGTTACATTTAGATTAAAAATAGAAGGCACAGGTGTTTTACAAGGCGCCGTCATTAAGTCAACCAACAAAACTAAATATTACATTACCAAGCCAGGGGTCTATATCTCAGCAGTGACTTCTTCCAACGCGTTTTCATTTGAGGAATTTATTGCTTCTGAAAAAGGGCCGGGGTATGTCTGTGCTACGCAGTTCATTCCTTGTGCCACACTGATGTCTCCTCGGGAACTGAAGGTAGGGCAGGATCTAGTCCGTGCATAGTTTTGTTGGGGTCCTGCCTGGCCAACCATCTCACTCACAGTGTTCACCGGCGAAGCCCTCCATCTCTGTCTCTGCAGTTGCTCTTCTTTACACTTAATGGAATACCAGGCCAGGAAAATAAAAAAGAATCCCACGAACTTGAGAGCAGCTGCCAAGCCAAAGTAGACAAAACGAAATGAGGTGACATCGTATTCCCAACAAGATCCTTGTACGCCACAATCCTGTTGCCAAAGCATGCACGTGGTGTCAATAACAGCCCCAAAATAAATTGGAGTGGGAATGTAAGCTGAAATAAAAATATCAACAGAAATAATACGTGTTAGTATATAGCGGAAATCTTCTAAAGAAACTATATTCCTTAGCTAAATAGTGCAGGTCGAGAATTTTTGAGATTTCTGCAGTTCTGTTCTCACATGAAATGTAAAACACGGAAAACTGGTCAGCTTCCCACCAACACTACTTATCCCACACATGAAATGTACCACAAACGGGAAAGAATTCAAGCAAAGAAGACAATGCAGCAGCACCTTACAACAGATACTGCTTCAATCTGCTATCTCCAGACAGTTCTTCTTGAACTACATGTCCCACAAAGAAAAGCCAATGTTGCTCTCAGGAAATAAAATACAAGAGAGGAACAAAGTATGACGTTATCTCCAGAGCTGAGCATCCATTGCCGTCCATAGAAGTCAGTAACAAAAAAAAAAAGAAAATAAATATATTCTCAACTACATTTTCAGAAGCTATTAATTTTAGGTTCATAATACAATTAGTCAGGCAATTAATTGCAGACTTATGGAATTTTACTACTTTTATGGTACATTTAATCTGGACATGGTGAGTCTTATGGAAATGCTGAATAAATGTAAGACTTACCAAGAGTTCGCAACAAAACAAACTGCATTCCTAGTGCAAAGGGGCGCTCCCCATCTTCCACAGACCTAGCAGACAACAAGAAAACTCCTCTGAAGAAATAGTCATACCAGATAATCATTGTGGCGTGTTCTGGTTCTACCTCCTGGCTTTTTTCTGAGCTATAAAAAATCTCTGTCTAAATTTCTTCCATTTAGCTTCTAACATTGTTAACTCATTGCTGGGAAAAAATATATCCAGCCCCTCCTGTCCCTGTTTAATCAAAATCTCAATCACACCTTTGAATCTTTCTTTACCTGTGTAAGGTCTGAAGAATTTGATCCAAACCCATTAAGGAAATTTAGAGAACCCACTCAAAATGTTTACGGCTTCTCAGGACAGTTTCCTATTGTTTCATATGATGTCTTGCTTTATTTTCTTAATCTTTTTCAGATAAATTAAAATTAATGGAGAATTAAGTTGCTGAACTTCTGAAGTTCTGGATTTAACAGATCTCTGTGTAGTGTAAGCACTTCAGAGCTACTTTAGGAAAAATATCAGTAGAAACATCCAAACAGTCTCTTTAAACACTGTTCCTTTTCAATACAAGTAATACAAAATTTCTTCCATTGGTTTCAAAGGAAAAATGTCAAGCTTTCAAAAGACTAAATACAAAGTACTGGTATTCCACAATACAACTACAATTTTAGTGAGCCACAGATTTTCTTCTGATTTAAAAAATAGTTTTAAATCTTAACTTAAAGGTCTGAAATTAAGATAGGCAGCTTCTAATGATGTTGAAATATAAGATAAAAACACACAAAATACTGCAGTCAAAAGGATGTAGCTGCAAAATCAAGGTTTGGAAGTCAAGCACTCAGAAATTGAGAAACTGGAGAACCAACTTGGGACACAAACCTTGGACCGATGCGCTGTGCGCAATAGGTGGTTTGGGACAGCGGGTGTCACTGCTCATGGGTGTGGGCCATCCCTTTTTTTTACTGAACATTACAAAATCCTGTGGAGATGTCCCTTACGCACCTCACTATTGTGAGGTCCACTGCAATATTAATGTTCACTGATTGTAGTTTACCTTTGCGCAATTGCAGTGCAATGACAATGGTTTTTTATTATTATTATTATTACTATTATTGTACAGGTGGAAAACGTGGAGATAGAAAGAATAAAGTCAGAAGTCTCTGAATTCTAACACCGCTGTGCACACAGTAGTTGAGCTAAGGCTGCATGAGCAACTGGAAGTCTGGTGTGCCCTTGGCTTCACAGTCCTAACAGTGATCCTTGCACCCATTTTGTAGATTTTTTGAAAAGTAAACTGGAAGACAAATTCCAGCACATGACACAGCACAGTCCTCCACATGTCAGCAGCAGGCTCCTTCATAAACCCCAGCCACTTGAGCTGAGAAAATGACAGCAAGAGAGTGCTTGTCCTTGCTGGGGATGAGGCAGGGATGCCTGCCAGGGGGTTTCAGAGCTGTGCTCATGGCTGAGCGTAAGGACAGCAAAGCCAAGTCCTGATCTGCCTCATGTTTTCTAAGGTTCCATGACCTATTACAAAGATTTGCCATTATTATTTTTATAGGGGAGTGATTGTGAGCAGCAGCAGAACATCTGTAGTCTCAGAGTATAAGAGTGAAGACAGAAAGAGAACACTACGAACAGAAAATCCCACTTGGTTGGGAGGACCATTCTCGCATGAAGAAAAGGCCCAAGACTGGTTTAAAAAAGCTCAATTTGGAGAGACATTTTACATAAAACCAGGTCAAAAGACACCTCTATGTTAGCAATTACCGCAGCTCTAGAGAAGCTGATTTATACAACTAAGCAGCCCGTGCTGAGGACCTGACATCTACACCACAAGTATTTCAGGTTTTGTAGGGATTTACTTCAGATCAGCTCTGACCTGGTCCCAGGGACTGAATGCCCATTTGCATCTGGATGATTTTGGGTGCGCTTCTGAAGAGTATCTCAAACCCTGGAACAGGCTTCCTAGAGAGGTGGTCAATGCCTCATGCCTGTCAGTGTTTGGACATCGCCCATAATAACAGTCTTTCATTTTTGATCAGCCCTGAAGTGGTCAGACAGTTGGATTAGACAATCACTGTATGTCCCTTCCAACTGAACTATTCTATTCGATTCGATTCGATTCTATTCGATTCGATTCGATTCGACTCGATTCGACTTTTTCTGTCTTCCAGGTCACCTCTGTCCAAAAGGGACTTACTTCTTCAACTCTGAGAGCTCTTCAGCTTCAGATTCCAAACCCAATCGACACCTTTAAACCATTCTCTTTGTCATTCTGTTACCAGCAGAACCAATACCTACGGGTGTGTTTTGTAAATCCTAGTAAATAATTACCTCATTTTCTTCCAATTCTTCCTCCTCCTCTTTTAACAACAGCAAAATATATTGTATAAAGACGAATTTATTTTAGCAGTAGACCATATTATGTTTTTTTCAGCTCACTGTTCTTTAAAAATCAGACTGAAGTTCACTTACAGAAGCTGTATTTTAAATAGACAAAGATGTTACAAGGAGCAATAATGCTTTTCAGACCAGATGGCAGAGATAGGAAAAGCCAATCCAAAAACCTGAACACTTTTTTTCAAATGGACAAACAAATGACATTACCTTTCCCTATAAAGACTGTGGTGTTTTCTGTCCTTAAATGACCACAGTGACAACACCACTGCTACAGTACAGGTTCAAAATTCTTGTGTAGAAAAAAAGGGAATATTTAAAAACAGGCATGTGGCAGGAATGAACAATTTTAAGAAAGAGAAAAGGGTAATTTTAAATACTTTTTTCGTTCGCATTTGAAAATCTAAACCATCGCTCTAAGAAGGTTGAAAATTTCTTCAGGAGTAATAATTTTCTTACATTATGCTTTTACTTGTTCTCTCTTTATAGTGTCTGGAAATCACTAGGCACTTCATGTTTCCTAAAGTGGATTATCATGTTACATATTCTAAATACAAGCAAGCTCTACCCTATCCATGTCAGCCCTATTCTATTCACTTTTTAAGGATACATAAGCTTGAAGGAGTTTGGCTGCATTGCCCCAGCCTCTTCTGACACAGGCACTGGTAATAGCGGACACAGCAAAAAAGACTTAAAACACCTGAGTTCTCACCTGAGTGTCACTATGATTGCTGACGGCTGGGCACACGCTGTTATAAGGGTAACAATGAAGAGAAATATCAGGAACGGGATAAGCGTGTTGCAGGTTCGATCACACTTCCCAGAAACAGCGTAGCCGTTCTCATTCAGGTAGGTTTTGACAATAACCAGCCGGAGCTGGCTGCGCTGGCCCACCGTCGGCGGAGTGATCACCTGGCGACTCTGGACACAGGCACATTCTGTGTAATTTCTTACCTAGGGAGAGCAAAAAAAACCACATTTCCACGTGAAAAACCTATGCAAGAAAGACATTGCGCAGAGATGTGGTACGACAGTCCCATGGTACTTCTCAATCAGGAATCTTCTGCCTTTAGCATCATTACTCCAAGTACAAGCAAAGTTACTGCTCCAAGTATTTTGAAAACTGGCCAGGACTCTCCATGATGAGATTGCCTTTCCATTGCTTTATTTAGGCTGAGTTTAAAAAAAATTCTGAAATATTTTTTTGAAAATTCTGCCTAAACAACAGGGAGGCTGGAGAAAAAGATTGTTTCTATCGTATTACAAAAACTATGAGGAAATACTTTTCAAGCAGCACTGACAACGCCGTATCCTGGAATTTGGCAGGCTGTTGACTTTCATTTTCAGGAGGTTTCTGCCATCTCAATGGAGGTCTACCTAGATTTGGCTAAAGAGCAACAAGCTGCACTTCATGCTTGGAGCCCAGGATCTTCCAGCTGAATGTGGGTGTGGATGTGGACAGGATGCAGACAGGAGCAAAACCAGAGAATAAGGGGAAAGCAGAGACTTAAACAGTGAGACTGGAGGACATCAGGGATTCCTGAATGGACAAAGAGGCTGAAATTAGGATGAAGAGACTGAATAAAGAAGTGGCATTACATAGGCACAGGGCATTATGATTTGAGCAAGGTGAGGAAGAGCTAGATCAGAAATAGACTCCTTTCCTACTTATTCTACTGCTGTTTTCAACTAATCTAATGGCAAAGGGGTGTGCAGTAGATCAGATTACTGCGGTGCGAGAGCAGAAACAGGTCAGGACCCATGTGATGCTACAGGAAGGAGTTCTTGGTTTCAATGTTTGCGTTCATAAAACCTAGGACCACACATGCACAGAAGCTACATTACAAGACCATCTTAAGGTTGTAAATTTAAGCACTTGGACATCAGGAAATATCCGAATCATGGCTGCTTGTCAACTTTAATGTATACCTTTATATGTATTTGTGCTATGACATAGCCTCACATTTTTTTCCCATGGGATTTAGCTGAACACCTTAACAATATATCAGTTTATCCAGTACTTTACCTCCCATTTTCAAAACATGGCTCCAGGCATTTTCTTCCTCACACTAACCATATTCCACTACAAAGACAGAATGACTCCTATTTCATACGGATTTTTCTATCACACTCACCATTAACTGTTTCAAAAAGGAGTAATTCATCTTCAGAACAGTTATGAGATGAGGCACTGATGCTGTTATCTCTATTTTGTAGCTAAGTAACTGAAACTGATCACGAGTTTCACAAATGTGGGTAACTAATTTGAGACAACTGGGATCCTTTTTTCCAGAACATTTTCCATTATATACAACTTAATATATTCTAAAAGTAACTTCTCATGCCTTCAGATACAGATTTAGGCGCTGAGTGCTTCTACAAATAGCACTTCTGGTTATTGCTCATGTCCATCATCCAGAATAAGAAGAATGCAAGATTAATGACCAACTGGGAGAACTTTTGTATAAGTGACTTGCCCAAATTCGCTTAGGAACAAAGGCAATGACAGAATCCAGTTTCCCAAGGCAGCACTCCTCTCTCTAATACCACATGAGTATCTGCTTTCTTCCTACAGTCCCTCACCTTAATCTCCTTATGGCTTCCAAATACAAATTCCAAACAGGTAGAAAATAGTCGTCTTTACTACGCAATCTTGGTTCATTACCAGAGAAACCAAGTCTGTGTGCTAAACGAGACAGACATGACACAACAGAAATGCTAGAGTATAGGAATATATATATAAAACAGGTAGGAACTGTACAATGGCATCCTTTTCTCCAACTTTCAATTTTTAAATGGTTAATTTTGAAAACACTCGATGTTATAAACTTAAATCTGACTGTTATAGGTTAGCAACATTTTGTCTGTTACGCAGTGGCACAAGCCTTCATCTGTTGTTTCTAAAAGCACCCTACATAAAGTGTTATTTAATGAAGAAATGTATTTTCCTACCAATGTCAGCCCTATTCTGTTCACCATTAGCTACTGAGTTAAAACTTCAGGCCATGAAGGATCTTTTCTTAAATTTTAAGAGGAAATAGTATGTTTCAAAATCTGTAGTGAAGAGCACATACTCCCAAAGTACCTCCCTACTAAATGATAGTGCCAGTTTGATATCAGGTGAAATGTAGCAAAGATCAAACCTATGTCTCAATCCAGCAAAGCACAAATAAGATTTATATAGATGCTGAAAGTTAACCACAGGCTCACATCACAGGCTTTTCCAATTGGATCAAAGCAATTTTCTACAAAAAAACAGCCAGATAGTCTAAAAAAAATAACTGTAAAGGAAACTAATCTGTTCTTAGTGGCATCTATGTATGAACCTGCATTTTCAGACCATTATCCAGTCAACCTGAGAAAGCACAGCGCCCGACCTAACATCCTCCTGCTCCACAGGCTGGCTCAGGACTGCAAATCAGGAGACTGATGCATTATAAATAAGTTTTCTGGAAAGCACAATCAAGTCCTGAGAAAATCGATGTTTATATTACTTCCTGTCTTTCTTAATTATCCTTTTTTAAAGGACAGTTCTGTAACAGAAGAATTTAAGAGTTCATTTTTTGTACGAAACGAGCACGACCTTAATGCTCTGTTGATATTTAGGTTACATTCTACTTTTCAACTGTTTTCTTGTGCCCAGTCCTGGAAACTGCCAAATTTCCATGATGTGATTTTACCAGCAGGATGCCCTTCCCCAGTCCAGCATAACTGGAAGACTGGGCTGTAACAGGCAATGTATTTCCAATAAAGAAAGCGGATTATTAACATCCTTTAAGTTCTAGTTATTTGAGTTCAATTACTTCATTTAGCCTGGAATTGGTTTAGGGAACAGCTATGAGAACGGCCAAATGATTTTACAAGAGTAGAATACACGGGCTGTCTTTACGTAGCCACACAAACAAAAGACCTATCAGGTGCAACAGCTACTCATGCAAAATGACGAGGCTGACACAAACACCAATGACTTTAAACAGGCCATAACTAAATTTAAACTGGGGTTTAAAACACTTCCAACTACCCGAAGAGTTAAGTTCTTCCTTCCATTCAGAGAAGGAGCCAAAAAAACCCCCAAACTGCTCTTAAGAGTAACACTGATGGGCTTGTAGAAAGCCAGTAAGACATGGCTCCCTATGTTAGCAGAAAGCTAGATGACACTGACTAAAGGTCCCATCTCTGAGCCTTGCAAAAACAGCAGACACACAGGCCACTGCCATCGGGGACTCTGAAGTCCGCTCTGGAAACACTAGCCCTCCCTACCCCATGGTACTTGGCACTCACTCGGTTGTAGGATTCACTTCGTACAAATGAACTTGTGCCTCAAATTTTTATATAGCTGAAAGGAAGCGGGGTGGGACCATGCGATAGGAGCATTACCAGCCTTTCAAAACATGGAAGGACTCATGCACGAGTCAGCTGCAAAGCAACTTCTCTGAAGCTTCAAGGGGGGGATGCTTGTGCTAGAAACAGAGCAGTCTTTGATCTGCATCAGTCCCGAGGGGCTATTCGTGGGTTGTATGTGGGTGGGTGAGTGAAGCACTTACCCCTGTGCTATGGTTTCCACCACTGATGCAGCCAGCTAGGCAAGGATTAAAATACGTTATTCCATCTGATCCACAGACAGGCTCGTACTCATGAATCTTACATCCACAGTTAACATTACAGCTCCCAGTCAGATTCCTGTGGGCCATGGCAAGCGTGGGACTGAAGAAAGGAAAAAAAACATGCTAGTAGAGCAAGCACAGACATCCTGCTGTTCAGAGGGAGAAAACATCCTATTCATTAACTCTAGAACTGAGTTGATTATCAGAGAACGACTGCATTAACTCTAGGTTATGTACATGATTTAAACAATACAGAACACCCAAGGCATCCCTGTCATTAACTAAAAGCACAATACAAAAATAATACCAAAGTTTAAAACCTGTATCTTATTTGCCTACCTAATAGTTGTAAATTTCTCCTGTTTTTTTTTTTTCTTTAAGAGTTAAGATATCACTATTTTGTACATCTATCCTAAGCTGCAGCAATTTGTTGCTGTTGATTACTAGTGAAGGGCTCAGTGATGGAATGTAAGCATTATGTGAACTAATACACATCCGTTCCCACATACCAACAACTATTCTGAAAACTTAATACTTGTATTATTTATATGTATATGTGAAATCTACAGGAAACTCTCTACATCTGGAGGAGTGCTGTGCTTTTACTAAATGTCTGTAAAAGTACCACTACTCCACTTCCCTGGGCCATTCCCCACAATCTTGCCAAAGCCCAACTTGCTAGGTCCTCCCCCAAAGGGTTTGGCAGAATGCTCAGAAGGAACTAAAAGGAATTTCAAAACTGAAGGACATGCACACACCAAAAAGCAGGCTCTTCACTATCTGTCACTGTTGCTCCAAACAGGTGGTTGAACAGATTTTAACCGCCACAGCAGGGAGCTGCACCAATTCTTCCCTGGCAAGCACCACGCCAGCCTGGGAATGTCCTCACCGTAGGACGAATGTGGAAACGGACCCCAATCAAAGCATGGCATTCATCTGAGCTCAGTGGTTGACGTAACAAGCCTGCATGAAGCACTGCACTGAGACAGTTACAGGTCTCTCCCGATGCACCCTCTTCTCCAGCTAACACCTTCGCATGGTACATCTGGGCCCTGTCTGGAGAGAGCAGGTCATTCGGAAGCAGTTTTGGTTCCCCCAAATGACACTGCCCTGGGTGCTGGGAGTCCTAAAGCAAGACAGGCTCCTAAGACAGAACCGATACCTGATATCCCAAGCTGCCAAGAGGCAGCCAGTACGAACCACTGAGTGCCAGTGGGCAACTCATGGCTGGAATCATGATTTTATAAACATGTAATCCCACTGTGGCTCTACTTTACCAGTTGTACCACTGCAGCTCAATCCAGAAGCAACAAAGGCCTTAGTAAGAGCAGCATCCGTATCTGTAAGATCACAGATTCTTCATCAGAAGATGACAGGGGAAAAAAAAAATCCCACTGATCAAATGGTGCTTTTTGCTACTAGTAGAAAGAAATCAACTCTGGTTACAACCGACTGCTGGCTGTCACCATCATAGGTTTTGACTCAGGCTGACTAAGACACACAGCCACCAAAGTAATCAGTTCTCATCTTAGGTACTATAACACCTCAGCCCTGCCCAAGAAAACCTCTCAGGTCACTTAAAAATGCCTAACTTTGGGCACAAACCCTGGAGGAGACACTCAGCTACTCCCTGTGCTGAAGGAAACCCTAAGGCGACACCGGACTTTTAACGTTCCTGGGTAGGGTAAGGGCTTGGAGTACAAAACAAAGGAGGAAAAGCATTAGCAGGCACAAAGGCAACCTCAATGAAAGAAAAGAATAATAAAAATCCCTACATAACTGTATATACAAATTCTGATTATAGAGAAATAGAGTTAAAATGGCTTAAAGAAAGAGAAAATGGATACTAGTTTGTTTGTTCTCAAATTAAAAACAGACTGGCATAACTGGACCCAGTGTATATAGAGCTAATATCAGAGGATGTAAGGTGTCAGTCTCTGCTACCTAGAAGCTCCTCATTAACGAGGAAGTAGTTAATGATCATATCATATTTTTCTGACAAATAACTGGTCTGAAAAGCCATTTACTTTTAATGGGCATATTTTCTCGAAAACCTCAGACTAGTTTATGAGGAGCTACTCTACTACCTTTGGCCTTTTCAGTTACTGGGATTGCTCAGGTGAGTTCTGTAGCATTGCTTTTTTCCCTTGGTTGGCTAAAGACTAACGGAAAACTTACTTTCGTATGTGTACATTTTCTGTGAAAACCTTTAGAAACACACGAAAATGGCTGTTGAGACCACGGTTGTCTCTTCACCGGTATCCTGTCTCTAACAGTAGCCATAAGAAGATGACTAGGGAAAAGCAAGAACAGGGCAAGTAACATCCCCCAGAAAAGTATTCTCTCAGCTTCTGAGGAGTCTCAACACAAAATGTTTTCTAGGTCTGACGGGTTTTTTAAGTTAATAAACCCCGATTTTTTCCCTGTACTTCTCCCATTTAGATTACATTTTTTGCATCTACAATATCCAACAGCAAGGATTTTTCAACAGTTCACAGCCTGTTACATGAGTTGTTGTTTGTTTTGAATCTGGCTCTTACTAGCTTTATCTGACAGCCCCCATGTCTACTACTTCGCTTGTAAAATCTAAACACAAGAAGACTCCTGAAAAAATAAACTTTCAGGGGTTCCTATGGCCAACATGAAAATATTTGCAAGCTCTAGTGAAATCTTGCAGTTGCGATTAAATAAACCACATCTAATATTAACTAATCTAATCTAATCACATCTAGTATTACCTGAAGGCATTATGCCAGAAGGTACCTGAAAGTATAGGCACTAAGTGTTACTTTTTATCCATGCTATTACTGAACATGCTAGCTCAGGGGTACCAAAAAGAAAATAACTGTCCCGCTTATATATATATACACAGACACACCTTGAAACATAAGTTATTTTCTGCTGTCATTATGCAGCCAAATTATAACACGCATGAACTTCTAAACAGCCCATATTATATTTACACTTATTTTTACCATACTTGCCATGCTCTCTGTCTTGTTTCAGGTTGCTAAATTGATTTAATAAGTGGAAAAGCAAGAGTCTGCAGTGTGGTTTACTGCTGGTTCAGTTTTCTGCATCTCATTTCGAATTTCATCTGTGTTTAAAACACTGCCAGCAACACGAATGCATTAAGGTAATGGAAAAGTTACCTGAATGACCTTATTCATACCAATCTGTTTCCAAGTGATAGGGTTGGCTGAGGCTAGGGACTCTAGCTCTTATTTCCTAAATACCTCTCTGTCTGAAGAAATCACAGTTCCTAAACTCTGCACTCGTGCTCCCTCTTCACCGCATAAGGTGTTTCCAAGCCACTGAAAACTGAAAAGCAGCTGATCGCAACGTTTTCACCTGAAGTTTCTCCTGTTACTTAGGAAAACTCCCAGTATGTTACTTTCTGTCACAGCTCTCTAGGCTTGTAAGTGCTATTTTGTGTCTCAAAGTACCCCAATGCTAGGGACTGCAATATTCAGTGTACGGCAATGCACAAGTTTTTCAGAAGATAGAGGGCCAGTTTCAAACCGCTTACTTTATGGGCTGTAACTTGCAATACCTAAACCTGAAAGTTTTTAGTCCTTCCAGGTGCCGAAGTCAGAAAGGCACGTTCTGTAAGGAATCAAGACGGCTGGCACTTCTGAAGATCTCAAAAAATTCAGAACATGGAAGTGAGAGCCTGACCTCCCTCCAATGACTTTCTGACTGGCACTCTGGCCAGGGAAGGTGAGATGGGAGCCGAGAGTGATGGTAAGACCAGATCAGAATTGAGTCTACAGACAACAATCACAGTCAGACTCGGTCCAGGGATCATGCAGCAAGTCTAACAGAAAGGAGGGACAGGCCCTCACCTCCAGCTTTCTTCACAATAGCTCTTAGCAGTGATGGAGCTGACCCTGGATTCAGCCAGTTGAACTCCCTAACTCAGATGACCAAGCTCCTGGAACTGGGGGGGGGATGCAATCTGCATCCTGACACTGTACAGGAATACCAGTGTCTGCTACAGACAGCTCAGTGAGCTCCTACACACGGAGCAAAAAGCTGTCCCTTTGTGCTGATAGCCTTCTCCAGACACACCACACTTCAGGGGTTTATAACAGATCTCTTCTGAAGGGGAGGAGGAGGAAGCTTCCTCTTCTTCATGAGCTCTGCAGTTGCCTGAGGTGGGAACACTGGGGTTCCAGGTCCTCCTCAACCTGAAGAGGTTCAAACCTACATCTCCATGGTGTTCTTATCAGCAAGCTCCAGAATGGTGTCTTTCCATCCTGCCTGCTGAAGCTGAATATGATCTCCACCCTGTCCATGCCACCCCATCAGTAACTCTTTACTGCCATATCTACAAGCAAAACCTGGAGCAGGGACCAGGACTGAAGCCATTTCTTCCAAGGGGAATCTCCTTTCAGAAGGTTTTAAAGATAGATTCCTCTTTTGCTTACTCTTTTTCTACCTCTGCTTCTCTGTACATTCCTCATTTTTTCTCCTTTCTCTTCCCTTGTATCCACCATCCATTTGTGCAGTGCTTATGGTGGGGACATCAGGAGTTCAGGGTCAGATTCTCTCTGAGTAAATAATAGCTGGACAGTGGCCACACAGAAGGGGAGCAACTTTTGTAGCAACCGATTTCCTGACTTCCTAGCAAAAAGACACTATCGGGCAGCTCTTATCTCCTCCACGATAACTGTTAATAGTGGCCAACGCTAACACAGTGCGGGCATCAGTGGGAAATGCAACACACATACATCCCTTATGGATTTGGACATATGGTTCCCTCCCATCTGTGAGTCACAGCAGCTTGAACACCTGCACATACCTGGCTCCCTAAAACCACACAAAAGTCTATGCTTGGTCACCGGGAGAACTCTGGCCAAAATACAAACAATAGTTTACTTCACTTCAGTAGTCCTTGAGAATACTGTATGATTCTGTGATTCTGTGATACTAATCTCTGAGATTGAAGAGTCCAAAATATGCTTAATCTGGGTTTTGGAAAGAATCCACAGACTTCAAACATGTTCCAAAGTCCTTCTTCAGTCAATGCACTCCTCTACCTTCTCCGCAGTGGTCACAATGGCAGAGATCTAGATTAGCTCAGAAGACAGGGCCACA